GAAATGGCTGAGGCGGTTGTCTTCATATCTCAGTCTGCTAACGGAATTTATCAAGAGAAATGTTAGCTGTAGAAGTGGGAACCCCATCGAGGAAAAACATTGGATACCAGAAAGAAACCAACAAATGAGCATTCAGCTTCTAAAATCTGCAGCTCAAGTTACGGTGGATAGGACGGACAACTCGTTTACCCCAATGAAACGCTAGATAACAACTAAGAATGGCCCGGTTATAGCTGTCGTGAGGCTGTAAGTAGAGCACGATCTGCCGACGACAATAAGAGAAAGCGACAAACTGGTGCCTCCATTGCATTGGGTTTCATTGCAAAAATCAGGGAATAAAACTATTTCGTAATAATAAGATCTTTAAAATGTAATAGTTTACTCACTTAATGCAATGAGGAGAATTAGCGTCAAAATCAGCAAATCTATCAGGACAGTAAAATAAAAACACTTCACACAACTCAACCATTGGACGTGCATTAGCAGTAATGTGCGTCAGCTCCAGGTCAAAATGATTGTGATCCAATTTTCCTTTGCGTTTGTATCTAATAACATTGGTTATGAATGGATCACTGGTTTGAAACTAGGGAATGTAGGAGTAGAAACAAGTTTAAAACGTCAAAATATGCCAAACTTCAAGAGCCGACTTGCAATAAAAACTTACATAATAAGTGCGAAATCATAGACTCGTACAGATAATCATCTGTCCAAATAGCAAATAGGAGAGCACGAAGCAGAAATGACATATTTGCCAAACCACAGTATGCTCGCACACCAGGGAGAAAACCAACCTTTAGATATGTGAAATTTGGTGCAATCTTCTTTTGAGACGAAATATCTTTGGGATAAGGAGAGTTCAAATTTTTTCCGAATGCCCAAGCAAATGCTGTCCAGAAATTCGCGTCCGCAACCAGGTTGATCATCCTGGCGATTATCATTGAGGTGAGCCTTGAACAACTGAAGAGCCTCAATCGCCAAACGGTTGCTGGTATTTTGGCAGAATCGATTCCAACTTTCGTGTCGCATCGTCATCAGAGCTACATTTGACAGGGCGATTTTCAACGAATTCGTGGGCTACAATGCAACATTCGGTATAAAATGGGCTGTAAGCCAATAGGACTCCAGAAGGTCATAAGCCAATGATAATCGCAATACCAAAAATCTAGACTTGATGCTAATGTTCGCAAAACTGTCAAAAAAATTGCCCACTTCTGCTTCAAAAAGTCAGATTAACAGATCAACTTAAGCTTAACTAACCCCTACTTGATGCAAATTAAGACAAAAGGTTGTGGTGGATTAAAGACGATAGAGTTAAATTCATCTGTTTTCTACCAAGACTTATTCTTTAGCCTTATTGAGTTGCGCAGTTTTAGATTTGCCCTATACTGTGATCCCAACCTCATCATCACCTAAATCTCTCCCTGACGTTTTCTCAAGAGATGATTTGTTTACACACACCTTGTCTGACATCGTAGGAAAGCGGAATCAGCAATGTAAAAGTAGGGAAGCAATTGTACTCGAAGCCAGCTTTAAGATGCGTTAATCTCTATCCCCACTGTGCCGCTTGTTGTTACATTCACGCTCTGATCCCCAATGTTGATTAAAACGTACACATCAACTCCATTACAATGGCAGCAAATGTGTATTAGTCATGACTTAAAACATCTTATTCAATACTATAGAGCATGGTACTTGGCTAATTATATCAGTATGGACTAAACTGAAGTAAACTTAACTTTCGGCATGATTCAAGACTTCCCACCAAGTAGAACAGGGTATTAAGTTGGGGTAACACGTTTTCTTAGAAAAGAAAATGGAATTCAGCCTGAGTTTGGCCTAAAGATAAGCTCGAATGCACAAGTCTCAGACAAATCCCTAAAGCTAACGTTAGACCTCAGGTGGTCATATAGACACGGTATTACACCGATTGCTTACTTATCTGACAGCAAAATTATGATCGTCATCAACGCTGAGGGCTCCAAGAAGTGTTGCAATAGTTTGCCTGTGTTAGTGAAGGTCACTGTGGCGAACATCTAGCTTCTCCCGGGCGCGTTGGCCTACTAAAGCCCAGCCTTTACCCTTGTTCTATGAATATAAGTGTCTAATCAAGTTCATATTTTTCGACATAAAGTGAAAATCTCAGAACGTTGCATATTTGCCCATGAAAATTGAGTCTTAGAAAGCAAAAAATTACATTTGGATTATAACGAATTACTTTTATTAAAGGTTGTTCCAATTCAGCAGGAGTCATAGAGGTAGGAAACAAGTGCTTTTGGATTGTTTGGCTCTACTTTTGCTAACAAGAGCACAAGTTTGATTAAAGTTGCAGTGCTGAGAAGTCGCCCTGTTTTGGAGGGTTATCATCAGAGTCTACTAGAATTTTCTGGCTCGACGCCATGATAAACCTAAAAATTATTGCATAAACGCTTTCCTGCTTTCTAAAACACTAGCTAAAATGGTCGAGAAAAATATAAGTTAACACAGTTAGCTCATTTTCGGAATTCAAAGCCAAGATAGCACCAGTGTCAGAATGATTTGAACTCATTTGCTTTGGGGGAAAAAGGTTTCCCATATTAGGAGATTTAAGCTTTTGAGACAAGAGAAACG